TTTTTTGTTTTAATGAAAATATCAGTTATTTTCATGAGAACGATTTGTTATTCCATCTCAATTTTTTTAATCTCCAATCGCAATAACGTAAAGTATTATTATCCGCGAACCAATGAGTCAAATTTAAGAAACAACCCACTGTTGGAAAGCTGAATGGCTACGCTTTAAAATGAATGTAAACTTTAACGTTTTCGTTATATATATATATATATATATATATATATATGCAAACATTCTATTGTTCTTTTAGCATTACTATTAATGAAGAGGGTGGATGTTTCCGTGTCCCCGTGGCAAGTGCTTTCCTCCTATTTCCCCCAAAAGCTGTTGAGAAGGAAGTAAATCTAACGTGTAGTCGAGTGAAGCACAAAGAATGTGAAGTAAAGCCAAGAGACGGGGAGTTATTCGTTAGCCGGATTCTTTGTATTGAACCAGAAGGTGTGACGTTTAAGAAACCTGTGACAGTTCTTTTATCCCACTCAGTCTACGAGGACCAGGTTTTTGAAGATTTTTATGAGTTGATCGTTGAACATTTAAGCCAGAACAGATGGCAAGATTTAAAGACGGAACGAATAAGCTCTGTTGAAGGTATACGGATTAATTATAAATTCATACTATATACATACTATTTATACACGAGTAGCAGTGCGTCTCGGGATCTTATGCCTGAAAAAAGACGTACTATATACACGAGTATTTTAAATGGCTTAAAAAGCGACCCATCGTATGAGTTCATTGGCGAAGTAATTATCTGAATTACTCTGCGTATGAACGAGATTTTTTCGCATTCGGAAAGATCATGCTTTTAGCTGTTGAGTGATATCTTCTTCATGCCAAATGGATAAAAAATGAGCAAATACGAATCCGATCAAAAATGTTAGTCAGAATCGCATATTTTTACCATTGAGAGTTGGGTCGAAAACCATTGAAAATGAACCCCCTTTGGTACTTAAGTTGATGAATTCACTTCAATAAACGACGCACATATTCATAATTATTATTAAGAAGGAATAAATCTTAGCTATAAGCTACGACACGTTCGTGATTAATTGCTTTTTCTTTTGTTATGCATTGTTTTAATTATAGGCACAGAGGTGAAAATATGCGATTTTGACTAACATTTGTGATCGGCCTCGTACATGCTTATTTTTTCTCCACTTGGCATGAAAAGCATGTCATTCAATAGCTAAAAGCCTGATCTTTCCGAATATGAAATCCAATTGTTCATACGCCGAGTGATTCACGTATAATAGCGCGCTGAAGTTCGATTATCTTTTTTTTATACACCCTGTATAAAACCATGCACCGGTAAATGATTTCCTTTATCTTTTTCTCATGAATTATTAAATATTTTGACAGTATAATATATTATACCCGAGAAGGAGTTTTTTTTGTTCTTGTTTATGGAAGTATCTAAAGAAACTCCAGAATATTAATTGACTTAATTTATGAATGTTTATTAAACCGTGGTATCATGCAAATCGATATACAGCATTGATTTTCTTTGTGTTCTGCTCATAAATTATTATTCGTTTAACACATCTGAATAAATATTTCGCACGAAAACTGTTATAGTGAGATTGAATGACTGTGCATAATGAAAGATGAATTAATGCAGTGTTTTTTTCCGAGTCTATCCAATATTGTCATACACTCAAGTGACTCAACCGAACCAGCATTTTGATTGGCTATAGTATTTTTTTTTATCTTGTTTCGTCGTCTTATAATTATCAAAACTTCGCTTGTATTTTCCTTAATATTATGACCAGTAAAATTCTATAAAATTTCCTTAATTGAGCAGGGCTTGTTTTTGTTAGTAACTTTTTACCTGTATATAGGTCTTTAAGGATTACAAAGATATAGGTTCTCTGAATTTTTGCCTTATTTGGTATTTGGGAATTTGAACAGCATCGTCGAAAGGAATTCACACGTTTGGTCAAGGGATATTTTCCGTAGGAAAGTTTTTGCATTTCTGAATGCCTAAGACTGCATTTCCTGCGTTTTGGAAAAGTATTTTTGCATATATTATAAATAACAGCTTAATTGACTTAATATTATTTTAATATTTTCAAAAATTAGATAAGACTTAAAATTTGATTTCCTTAAAACATCCTTAAAGAGGTTCAAACGTCCTCAGTTTATGGGAATTTCCTAAAAAGTGAGAACGCTGATTATGGCTGTTTTTCGGCGTGTTTTAAAATATTTTCAAAGCTCACGAGCTGTGTGTATTCTTAAAAACATTTCCACTGGTTACTTTGCAACGAGTAAACAAAAATTCCACATGCGAAAGTTGAAAGAAATTACTAAAACGCTCGTGCATGCATGGTTTTAAATTTTATTTAAATCTTTCAAATTGTGCTTTTCAAAGAGTGTAAAAACAATTAGACAACTCGGCCTTATTATGTAATTCTTAAACAGTCCTCTAGTATAGGCAACCCTATATAGAAAAAGTTATCCTTTGTTTTAGATGTACCAAAGGAAATACTTAATCCAGAGATCCTAGGTGACTACTTGCCAATTGCTAAAACGACCATACATGAGACTTGTACCTTAGTTGCTGCAACACGAGTCGGGTACGATCAGATTTTGATACCAACAGACAGTAGTTACATCTTTTCCAAGCAGTGTGGAGAAAATGCAGAACTTAACATCACATTTCCAGCTGGTGTCACGGAGGAGATACTAAGTTTAAAAGTTCAGGTAATGTATACTTTGTATTCTTCGAAGTATGCTTTGTAGTCTTACGAACTTGTGAAGAAAACATTCCTATTCGTCCGAGTGGGACAGTCGCATAAAATAGCTTTAATCGTTGTCCACTAACCTGCGACCAAGCGTTCTTTGGGGAAAATGAACGCCTGATATACAAATATCGCTCAATTAAGAGGCTTATACCACCCAAAATGCGCCGAAAGTAAAAGTAATCGCGTACATTTCGTGGGGAATAGCCATGGCAATTCGAAATTCTTCCAACAACCTGTTTAAGAAATATTTTGGGGTTTTTTGTTCCAAATTCTTGTAACAATTTACTGCAAGTCATATTAAAACTTCTGTTCCAGTTGTTTCCTGCTGATGCTGCTTTAAAAAAAGAAGTGTATTTGGATAAAAATCTTGTCTGCGCGCCTGTGATCAAAGTTTCTGGTCAGACGACTCCATTCCTCAAAGCAGTTGATGTCGAACTCACATACTCTAACAATGATGTTGCCAATATCGAAGAAGGATTTTTACCAGTTGGAAAGAGTATTAAATTTTCAACTGAGTATGGACTTTTGTTGCGTAGCCAAAAGGAGACCGAGTCAAGATCCAAATGCCAAACTTTGAATGAAAGTAACGATGTGTATATTGAACGGCTAAGAAAGGATCAGTTGAAGTTCTCGTTTTCACTGAAACATTTTTGCAAGTAATTACTAATACACCTTTTCGACAATTTTGTCAGAAATCCTTCCTTGGCCTGGGAGCTTCGTTCTCGTGAGTTGTGACCAAAGTTCGTCTTGATTCGTAAGCACGAGGGTCGCAGGCCAAAGACGTATTGGTGGCGTAATTATCATAAATATGGGCTTATACGTAATTATCATAAATATGGGCTTAAAAGACCTGATTGATCACAATCGACTTCTGGAAAATTGGTAAATTGTGAAATGGGAGGGGAGCAACTTAAAAGGGAACAGTGTGTTTAATCGCTTTATTCCCTACTAGCAAGAGAGCGTAATCAAAGATTTGGTGGATGTAGCATGATATTTTTCATATTTGCATGGCTACTATATGTCACTCATATTAAAAGATAAATGAGTTGAATTTATTGTCTTTGATTTTCTTATTGTGTGTAACATAGGGTAATGAAAAAGTATTATATGTTGCCAATTTTAATTTCGTGCCTTTTTATCGACTTTTAGAATTTGTTCGATAGCGAAGAAAACTGACAGTGCACAACTGCCACACGTTGAAGAGAACAGTCTTTTCAACCAATGTATGTCTCAGAATGACGGATTTGTAGCAATTATATTGGCTGTGCATCAAAAGAAGACTCTCTATGCTGTCTTGGCGCCTAAAACAGCCCAAGATGAACTAAAAAAAAAATGGAAAGTTGCTGGTAGACGTCTTGGTGTTCGGCTCAGGAAGAAGCAAGAGATATACATTTGTGTTCCACTGGATAAAGACACTACCCATCTTCCTCTGGATGACGAGTTATTATGGTAAAAATTCTACAATGTAAACTAACCATTGATTTTAAAGATTCAACCCATCATTAAGCCACAATGCACCCTAATGCGATATACTCTTACGTTGTTCTTAGGCTAACCAAACTATTATTGACTTATATAGTTCAGTAATTTCCGATTTTTGTTTATTTGTGTAGCCAGTAGTTGCTGGCCTTAGGTTTCGGTATGAATTTGATATACATCGATGTAACAATACGACTGGAAAATCTCTATATTTAATAAGATACACAATTAAATTGCTGGATTGCGAAGTCAGAAGCATTTAAGTACTATTTAAAACACGCGTAGGAGTGTTTTATATTTAAAATGGGAGTGCGCAGCTAGACTTGGATCAAGTCCGTCCCTCTAGAGTCCGAGACGCGAAGCGACGAGATCGAACGCGGCGCGCGAGGTAGTGCGCAGCACGAGCATTTTAGATATGATAAAACACGACTACAAGTGTTTTGAATATAGCTTCAAACACGACCACATTAGATGCCATCTCATTAGTATTCTTTATATAAAGAATACTAATTTCATGGATGGACTTTTATTTGAAGAATACCAATGAACATGAGTTTTATCAGGTTATGATGTCTCTTTACGTGACATATTATGATTTGCCAATAAGCTTATGAATTATTTATTAATGAGCGTTTGAAACGTTTGAAACAGTTTTAAAAAATATATGTTAAAGATATTTCTCACAACTTTTTATTGTGAAGATAAATATATATTTGCTGGAATGGATGTGATGTCGCATTAATTTCTTAATTTATTTGTCCTTATATACTCGCCCTGGCAACTTTACCTGCAGTTGGTAGAGACAGGAGTACTCCGAAAAACCCTTGCATTACATGCAGTCACATTTCTGTTTGTTATTTTATGCATATATAGGTTCGATCTTGACATGGAATTTGAGTTGCCCAACGGAACGAGCGAAGATGTTGACCTAGAAGAGGAATACATGTACTTCCTGTTGACAAAATGTACTGGTAAAAATCATAATATTGGGAAAGATGGCTGTGGAAAAGTAGGAATTCATATTGAAAAAAAAGCAAAGGTTTGTTCGTAACTCTCAACGACAAAATAACATAATCCATTTCTCAACGTAGTTCTCCTAAAATATAGCCCTTTGAATTCTAAAGTTTCTGAAACGTTCTCTGATCGTAAATATTTATTTAAAACACGAGCTTTCGACTGCCAGTCTGCAGTTTTCGACAGGTAAAGTGTAGAACACTACCTCTTTTTGATCATTTTGCTTTTCACTTTTTTTGTAGGGGAACATTAAATCTGTTAATGAACCATGTATTGCACGAAGGCAAGGTGTGTAAAAGCACTGTTCAGAAATGCAACACTTTTTAGAATTTGTTGTCCTTGAACGTTTCTGGATATTTTTTCAGATCTTCTTTAGGCTACAAAACTAACAATTGTTAGTTACTGTCATTATGTTTTCATGGAAATAATAGAATGATATATTTAAAGAACAAATGTTATATTTTGACATATAGGAAATGGTGTTTTATCTACCCAAGGAGTCGCTCTCAACGGTCTTGTAACTTCACAAAACGAGGTGAACAGATTAGATTTGTAATCTATAGTACCTTGCATGTGTTGTAGCTGCATGGTCTCTCATGCTAGTCGAGTTTTTGTACTATTTATACAGTGGAACCCCGCCTTACGGCCACCCCGTTAATACGGTCACCTCGATAATACGGTCACTTTTTTTTTTGTCCCGGCGAAATACTAATACATTTTATAATAAAGTTACCCGGTTAATACGGCCACCCCGTTAATACGGCCAACGGCCATATTGTAGAGTCCCGAACTAAAGAAATCACCCCGTTAATACGGTCACTCAAAAAAATAAATGTGTTTACGGACGGAAATGCAGTATAATTTAAGACACCTTGTGCAGTGAAACACAAAATTCAAGTTGCATCATATTACTAATTTTGTTATTTTTATTATCAGTCGCGTAAAGGAAAAGAAAGAATACAACGTTCTTTAGCGACGTTGTATTCCCTAACATTGTTTCCTTAAAACTGGTGAAAACTTTATCTGAACTTTATAACGTTTAGTTATTAATTGGTATTATGGTGGGGTATGGTGTTATTGTGATTTTCGAATACACATAGCTTTAATGACGTCACAATTGAAATTTGATCTCACCCCGTTAATACGGCCACCCCGTTAATACGGCCATATTATTTCGGCCCGTTGGTGACCGTATCAACGGGGTTCCACTGTATATTCAAGTGTTAAAACGCTTATTGAAACACTCTGTTAGTATTTCCGTGTTAAACTTATTAGTGCATTTTGGTTACCTGGTAAGCTGCACAGGGGACAGTCTTGCCCTTTAATGGGTTACCCAAACAGTTCCAATTTCCCTATCTGCGGATATACAACCAATGCCCAGTTAGAATTTAAACCCTATTCTGTGGTTAAAATTAACCAAAGTGTTTTTTAGAATGGAATGTAAAATTTGAGGGGTCCAACCTTGGTGGCGGCGTAGAGTACAAAGCTTTGTCGAATTTCATGGAAGCTTGTATTTTTTTTTTATTTTCAGGTTATGGAAACAAATCTAAGTCGCTGTGAATATTTTGAAGAGGCTATTGAAAATATATTCCTAAAAAAATTGGGGATTAACAAAGATGAGATGCAAAATCCTCACATCGGGTCAATGGCAAAGGCAGTAAACGATCTAGGGACACTGACCTCTATTGTCCTTGGGCTTGGTGTTGGGGCAACAATCGCATTAAGTATTGCAAATTTCGGGATTGGTGCCATTGTTGGAGCGACAGTTGCTGGTGTAACCTTCACTGTCACGAAAGTTGATAGAAAATTGAAAAAATCAACTGCCAAAAAGCTGGATAAAAAAGTGGAGATCTACTTTCATTCTCATTTAAAGTGCATTATCATGGATGTCGCCAAGGAATTATCTCGTATGTTTGAGTACCAAGTACTTACATTAGAAGATGGGAAGCAAATTGATATTTTAGCAGAGTGTGCGGTCGATTTGATGTCAAATCTGAAGAAAGACGATAAATTCGACAGAAACACTTTAATCAAGAAGGTACTTAAAGATGGCAAAGTAGAGAAGAGAGATTTACTTACTAGGATTGGTGACAAGTGGTCTGCTCCGGATGTGTTTCGAAAGCCTGGTTTGCAACGAGCGATTGTCGAAACGGATCGCGCGAAATTTATTTACCAGGTTAAACCAAATAATGCCTGTAACACAACGAGGTATGGCTATCGCGGCCAGTTCCTTGAAACGAAGAAATATCATGGTCAGAACGAAGTAAATGAAAAGGTATCAGAGATGAGATACCGTAGAGAACCTCCCAAGGATGAAACCCACACGCGCGAAAATTCTCACGAAGACTTGTGCAAAGAATGCTTTTCTAACTTTGAAAATGGCTGTAGTGGTCAATACTTTGGTGAATCGGATATTGACTCTCGATACACTGAGTATCGAGATGAACTTTCAACTTACCATCCAATACACATCTTAATACAATGTCCAAAGGTTTTGGAGTCTTTCATTGGTAGCCAGCTTCAAGGAGACAAGCCTTCGTTAGCTATTTTTTTGAAGAAGAAATTAGAACTTCCTGAACATCATCTTGTGCACCCCGTCTATCGACAACATTCGCCAGGGAAAGTTCCTGATCTCCAAAAGTCAGATCTTACTGGATCAGATTTCAGCCATTCCAATTTCACTAATTCATCTCTCACGGAATGCTATTTTGTCAAGTGCGTGATGTTGTTTGTAAGACTAGCTGGGGCAAAGATGTCTGGTTCCAAATTTTGTGACACATTGATCAGTCACAGTAATTTGGTGAAAGCCGAAGCTGATCAGTGCGAGTGGATAAAGACAGCGATCCTGTATTCAAATGTGGCTGGCGCATACCTGAACTTTGTAGAACCTAGCATATGTGGGAATTATTTAGATGGGACCAATATTTGCGACGCCATCACTGGAAAGATGAGGAAAGATGAAGGAATCACTGGAAAGATGAGGGAATTGAACTGCAACGAAAGTAAGTATAAATAAAAGAAGATTTTAAACATTGTCGTGATATTTTAAATCCAAAAATGAGGACCGCGGATTTCTAGTCTCATGAAACAGTTTGTTTCAACAAAGTACGAGGTTAGCGGCAAGCTGTGTAGCCACGCAGAGTAGCATTATCTTCGAATCCTTTACCTGAATCCCAACACCACAATCATCGAAAACTGCGAGGATTTGAAATCTGACCTAGTCCGAATTTAAGGTTTTAATATGATATTTCATTCTCCGTTATCATTACCAAATGTGTTGTGAATTAAATTTCATCAGGTTCAAAGACTGAATTGATTTAATCCAGTCCTGAGAATGAATTAATTTAGTTCTAGGACCTAATCAAAAACTCATTCACTAGATGTCATTTGACCACAACAAAGTAATATGGTTGGTATGAAATAGTATAGAAACACTGTTATCAAACATCTAAATTTCTTTAGGGACAGACCATTGGAAAAGTGATGGTGTGGGGGGGGGGGGCATTTCCAACCTGTACGATTATTTTTTCAAAAATTTCTGCTTGTGTCGATAATTTTTTTTAAACCATCCCTTGCTCGTATTTTTTTTTCAAAAAGTGTTGGCGAGCGGGGGAGGGGTTAACATTTTTTCAGGACACTATAAAAAAGGGTCAAAAAAAATTTTCCGGACTAACATCAGTTAATTTAAGGTACAAAAAAATTTTCCCTCACAAATTCTTGTTAAAACATGCTTAAAACCTTTTTTTGCACCAATATCTTCAATATTTAGGTTTAGAAATTTTTTTCTCACACCGGATTACTTACATCAAAAAACCTTTTATTTTCCAAATTTGGGGGCCACCCTTACACAACTTATAATTTTCCCTATTGAAAAGTCTCTGCACGATTTTTTTAAAACTTTTTTCGTGCTCGAATTTTTTTCTTTCTGTTTCCCCTACTCGATTTTTATTTTTGCTTTTGCCCCCCTCCCCAATCACTTTTCTAATGGTCCGCACCTTAAAATACACCGTTTAAAGTACGCGAGCGTTGATTGATTGAGAAGATTTTTCTATATAATGTAGCTATATATAGAATCTCGAAAAATTTCCCGCCTCGCGCCTTTAAATTTAAAAACGTAAAAAAATTTTCGGACGCGCAAAAATCGAGAGCATGCATGCTTAATAATACTATAGTCTCAACAACGGAATTGAGGAAACAGGAACAAAATACGATTTCTCAGTTTAAATATCAGTGAGAATTTGTAAATTAGCCGATTTTAAAAAAATGTATATATAAAATCTTTCTTGAGTAATGACATTTTGATTTTTGAAGTTTCTGCTAAAACGCGTAGGGAATTGTCTACCGGTGTTGAGAAATTCCATCACTTGCTAGAAATAGTAGCTATATATAATAATCTTGACTTAAGACAAAATTATGTGGAAGAAAATAGCCTTTTAATGTTTTGGTGAACAATACAGTCATAAGTTCTCTGAATGTTTGCATGGCGATAAAATATAATTGTTTTTGTTTGTGGAAACACCACGTAAATTTATTACTGCAAAGCTTTCGATCCGTAAGCCCGGATCTTCATCAGTGCTAATAACCTAATATATATATACATATTATTAGCACTGATGAAGATCCGGGCTTACGGATCGAAAGCTTTGCAGTAATAAATTTACGTGGTGTTTCCACAAACAAAAACAATTAATATAGTCATATATATAACATAGAGTTTTAATGTTTTAATAATTAATGTTATCACTTGCAAGACATTTACTTTCTGTCTTTTCCAGCGCCAGTTTAGAAGAACAATTATATAGAGGAATTGGCAAAGAAGTATCACACGAAATTGATTAATAATGATTGCAAGGTCATGTTCTCGTGTTTTGGTTTGTATGTAATCACTTGACTTGCAATATGATGTATATATTATACAATTTAGTTTTAGTTTTTAGTTTTAATCAAGCCTAATTCGTATACATTTATACGAGGAGTTAAGCAACAGAGCAAGCTCCAATCAAGGGTTAACTCCGAAATATATATATATATATATATATATATATATATATATATATATATGTATATGTATGTATATATATATGTATGTATATATATATGTGAGTGGTTCAAGTAAAAACGAAACGGTATGTATACAGTATACGGAACATGACTTTTTTACTATTTCATAACCAACATAATGCCATCTAATATATATGTTTAAAAAATCATTCTCTGTAATGCGGAGAATGACTTTTTTAACATATGTATATTAATTGACATTATATGTTGGTTATGAAATAGTAAAAAAGTCATGTTCCGTATACTGCATGTACATAACGTTTTTACTTGAACCACTCACATATATTATATACATCTATAGACCTTAAGATTAACCTAAGACGGTCGGCTAACGGCAAGCTTCGAATCGCATTTGAAAGTAACTATGGTTGTTTACCATTTACATGGAAATTGCGGTGATTCCATACGGAAAGTAAATGGAACAAGCATATTTCGACAGCCCAACCAGAACTTTTCTGGAATAAACGGTGTGTTTGAAAAGGTTGTCCTCTCTTACCGATTGGAATGTTTCAGCCGGTGAATTTTGTTCCATTTACATCTTTTTTATCTTTTCACCAGTTCCAGGCTCTTCGCGATTTAATTCAAACCGAATGGGTTTTCCATGTAAATGGTAAACGACCTATAGGTAAGTTCTACAAGTTTTCGACAGGGTACAAATTGTCCTAATATCAAGATTTTGTTGGCGTCTCACTCGATTGAATTATTAGTTGAAGGGTATTGTAGATCAATTGAACATTATCGAGTGGAAATTTATGTACATTTATTACACCATAGCCTATCGAAGGGAAGATGGCTGTGAAACTCATTAGAATAACAATATAACTCATTATCTATATGTTAGTCAACGTTTATTCATAAATCTGGTCCTTTCACAGTCAAGTGTGTATTGTATTTTTACCAAATCCACCAATAGTAATTTGCAGTTTCCCTATTGTTCGAGTCACGGATAGGTGACTTTCCTAAAACATTGCTATTGGTTAGTTGGGCAAGAATACAATACACACGTGACGGTGAAGGACCAGTTTTATGAATAAACGTTGACCAACATAGATAATGAGTTATATTGTTATTCTAATGAGTTTCATTCACAGCCATATTCCCTTCGATAGGCTATGATTAGACCTAACCAGCAACAGAAGCGAAAAATGCAACTATAGCCGTATAGGTCCCTGGCAGGAATTGAACCTGTAGTCTAATCGATAATTTCCATCGATAATACAAACTGTCCTAACTTCTTCGATCACCTATGACAGTTGACTTTAATAGAATACGATTTGAAGTTTGCCGTTTGCTATTTAGATGTCTGCAGGACAAACGTCTGCAATTTCAGTCAAGGTGTTCATATTGTATTTTTACGAGCCAAATATCGGCTACAAGCGCGAAGTAGTAATGTACAAAGAGCTCCTTCTTTTGGGTAGTTCCTCGGGTAGAGGAGAAGTGATCACGTGATCGGCTAGTTGTGTTGTTTGTGGCGTCAGATATAACCAAATCCCTATCTCTAAGCCTAATCCTTACCCTAACCCTCACCCTAACCCTCACCCTTACCCTAACCCTTACCCTAACCTCAAAACTAATCGCTATAACTAACTGATGACGTAGTCTGTGATGCAAATTCTTCTACCCGAGGATGTACCCCTTCTTTTTGCTGCCGTTATAATTAGCTATTTCCTCTGAATGGAAACTTGAAGCTGACGTAACAGTCGGAACTTGGAAAAAACGTTGCGTAAGACTTCTTTTCTGCTACTGCTATAATTGCTATTTCCGTTCCACGAAACTGGCAGAGCACCGGGTGAGCGATTGGAATTTTGAAACTACGATGACTATATATGTGTAGGCGTATAATTATAAGGTTGACCTTAATTGAAGTATATTATGTAGAGAATTAAATTTCGACATCGTTGTAGCCGTAGGGCAGTGAACACTATACTCACGTACAGATAGATGAAATGTCGGAGGACTGCTTGAAAGCAGAATGACTATACTTTTTTATTTAATTCAGCCATATAATACAATAATTTACAATAATATTTTTTTATATATAATTATGTACTATTTAACAACATGAACGGCCGTGGGATTTTAGCCTTTTAACACATTTCGTAATAGATATATGCGTGAAAAAATACCTCGTAATTGAATATGAAAATGAATAAATATTCTTCCTATATATCAGTAAGCCTTCTGTAGGTGATGTGCAACCACTCCTATGGATTCAAAGAACAATGAGATTTTCGCCATGTTGGATATAACAAACAAGCAAATTCCTCGGTCAATGTCTGATCCAACATGGCAACTGTGACATAACTTGCACACCACCAAGTCCCGGAAATGAGACCACGACCAATTAAGGGAGGCTTATTAGGGCCATTATACGCATATTCGTGAATGTATTTTTGCTTAGAGAGATACATACACGTGTATATGCCGTTACTGTGGTATTGAATGACCTTTCAGAGTCTTTTAAGACTTAAAAAAACGCAACAGTCACGCGAGCTTGGTTAGCTGTTCTTAATGCTTTCCCAACACTATCATGCATTTTATTGAAGTTAAAACATAGTTACAACGCTCATCACACCTTTATTTTGTTAATCTGGAGCTTGAAATGTCCCCTGTAACAATGCGTGACTAGCTGCCAACTCTTCAACTCTCATCCTCAAGTTCAAAGAGGACTGCATGTATGCACCTTCAATGAATCAGCTGCATGATCCAAAATAGATTTTGCACTTATATGGAAAAAAAATAGCAAAAAATAGTATTGAATGTTTTCGGCAGAGAGTATACCGGTTTTCTGAGAGTGCTTTTAAATTAAACAACGACTTTTTAACAAAAACCATGTTGTCCCGAAAGAATGAAAGATTGCATTTGTGATAATTATACTGTATTGTGAAAGACATTAGTGACTTAGTGTGCCGTCTTAAGATGTTCAGAAAGTCAAAGATTGAGACTAATAACTAAAGTTATAACCTAATGAAAAATAAACGAATTTTAATCCGTGGAAGTTGCAGGCGCGCTTGCCGCTAGTCGCTACAAAAAGAGTGTATTAGTCCATTTCTCTTGTTGTTTTTTCATTTTATTTATGTTTGATATTAAAAAGAGTACTGGCAACATGAAATAACCAAAAGGTTAAGAATTGGCAGCTTGACGTTTACGACAGAGCGCAAAAGTCAAATTTCAAATCGCATTTGAAGGTCTACAAGTTTTCGATAGTTGCGTCTAGCCAATCTTTGCTTCAATTTTAACGCTCGAATTCTCCTATAAACTATAAAGTCCTGACTAATTCTTACAGTTGAACTTAAAATACGATTCGAAGTTTGCCGTTTGATATTTAGATGTCTGCCGGATAAACGTCAATCTCTTGAAGGTGTGTATATTGTATTTTTACGGGCGAGCCAAATATCGGCTACAAGCGCGAGGTAGTAATGTACAAAGAGCTCCTCCTTTTTGCTATACTGTTATAATTAACTATTTCCTCTCAATGGAAACTTACAGGTGACGTAACAGTCGGAACTTGGAAAAAACGTTGCGTGAGATAAAGCGAGATATCCTTTGTGCCACTGCAAAAATTGTTATTTCCGTTACACGAAACTGGCGGAGCACCGGGTAGGCGATTGGAATTTTGAAACTATGATGACTATATAGATATATAGGCGTATTATAAGGTTAAACTTGATTGACGTATTCTGTAGAGAATTAAATTACGACATCGTTGTAGCCGTATAGGGCAATGAACACTACTCACGTATATACAGATGAATGTCAGATGATCTGCTTGAAAGCAGAATTGACTATACTTTTTTATTTAATTCGGCCATATGATATAATAATTTACAATAATATTTTTTTTTATATAATTATATCTACTATTTACAACGTGAGCGCGGCCGTGGGATTTTTTAGGCTTTGACCACTTTTCATCATATAGATATGCGTGACCTGGAAAAAATGCCTCGTAATTGAATATTCTTCCTATATATTGGTAAGCCTTCTATGATCGAAGTCCGGAAATGAGACCAAGGGACGCGCTTATTAAGGCCATACATAAATTCATGAATGTAGTTTTTGCTAAAGAGATATATACGTGTATATATGCCGTTGTTGTGGTATTGAATGACCTTCAGCTAGAGTCTTTTAATTGAAACTTAAAAAAAAGGAAGGTCAAACGAGAGGGCATGAGGGTTGGCGGCAATCACGCAAGCTTGCATTGGTTAGCTGTTCTTAATGCTTTCCCAACACTATACATCATAGTACAACCCTGCATATAAGAAGCTTTATTATATAGTAGAGAGTGAGATACTGAAAATACACAGTGAGATATTTTCCATATCTTCACTATAGTGAAGATATCGATCACGTGACTTTTTCCAATTCCCTTTAAGCTTTTGAGCGTGAAATTTCACAATTTTTGCTTGGGACTATATAATAAACAGAACATTACACGGTGGCTTGAAGATATGATTTTTTATCTTCTCGTGTTAAAAGCAATAGTAAAATATTGTTTTCACCACTCGAAGATGAATATCTTCGCACCGCCGTGTAATATATCCTCTATATATTTTCCAATTTAGCCTAAAACGCCGGTTTTGTAAATGGTGCTTACCAGGGAATTAGTTAGGCTATAAACAGGTTCAACTTGTTAGATAGGTTCTTATTTGCTTAAGAGAAAAGCGACTCATTTTATGATAGCTATATAGTAGCTATATATATAATTTATACATAAATTATGCACAAATGATCTAGAAAGTGACAGTATATGCACTAGCTACCAACTCTATAGATGCACTTTAAAGCTACGGCACTGATCGTAAATTATGACTTGATCAATATAAGAATCTGTTTTGAAATTCTAGCCTGACCAGGTTCTTACTTGAAAGGGGTCAAAATAAAATATTTTAGCCTAAAGGTTCTTAATTTAAATTTTAGGTTCTTAAATTTTAGGTTCTTATATGCCGCGGGGTTTTACTGTATTCTATAAGTTAAAACATTGTTGGAACAGTCATCAAACCTTTATTTTCAGTGTTAATCTAGAGTTTGAAATGCCTGTGACAATGCGTGACTGGCAACTCTTATCAACTCTTATTCTCGTTTGACTGGGCTTTAAGAGGACTGCACCTTCAATGAATCAGCTGCATGATAGATTTTGCACTTTGGGGAAAAAATTAGCAACCAATATTGAAATAATTGAATGTTTTCAGAGAGTACCGCGGCTTCAGAGAGTGCTTTTAAAACAACAACCTTTTAAGCAAAAACCATGTTGTCCCGAAAGAATGAAAGATTGTATTTTTTTACATTTACTGTATTGTGAAAGACATTATCTTGCCGTCGTAAGATATGTTCAGATTTCAGAAAGTCAAGGATTTAGTCAAGATTCGATCTATATAGTATATCTTATTTTTCAATCAACGTTAATATATTGTTTTTATGTAAAGCTAATCTTCGGCCTATCTCTAAAACTATAAATTTGAAGTAATTTTAAGGTGGTGCCTGATGGTAGAATGACTTGTCGACTAACAAAATCTTCAATATTTCACAAGTTTGAGTATTGTCAATTAAAATTAACCCTTCCGCCCAGTTACGTTACGGAAAGCACAATAATCCCTGTCCCAGTTCTTACCCTAATACCTATACGCTAACCCTGATTAACGTATTACACAATGTTTATCACTAGAAAAAAGTAGTGAAATCATGCATGCTTGGGAATTTGCAATTGCATCACAAAATCCATAGACATGCATAGTATATTATTTCCATACTAGGCATAGGTACGAAATTTCATGGTAATTTTCGTTCAAAACCAGCTGAAACTGTTTACTGAATACCAACTTCAAAGCGAATAAACGTCAATCTTAAGGTGTCTATATTGTATTTTTACGAGCCAGATATTGACTACAAGCGCGAGGTAGTAATGTAAGAACTTCTTTTTGCTACTGTTATAATTATAGCTATTTCCTCTCAATGGAAACTTGAAACTGAAGTAACAGTCGGAACTTGGAAAAAAAGTTGTGTGTGAGACACCGGCTTTCTGCTACTGCTATAATTGCTAGTTCCGTTGCATGAAACTGGCGGAGCACGTACCGGGTATAGGCGATTGGAATTTTGAAACTATGATGACTATATATATACAGGCGTATGATAAGGTTGACCTTAATTGACATATTATGTAGAGAATTAAATACACATGTCGTTGTAGGGCAGTGAACCTATTCACGTGCAGATGAACGTCATGAGATGACTGCTTGAAAACGAATGACTATAGCTACTTTTTTTATTTAATTCGGCCATATAATATAATAATTTACAATTGTTTTTTTTATAATTACGTACTATTTACAACATGAACGGCCGTGGGATTTTAGGCTTTGAACCAAGCCCGTAGCTGGCTCTCAATTTCTGGGGGGCACTCACTCCAGAAAGAATGTAACCAAACGTTTGATATGAAAAAAAAATTTTTCCCGAATTTATTCTGGCGACCTCCCCCCCTCCCACCCCCGTCGCCCAAAAAATTTCGGTCAGTGTACCATTTTAGGGGTCAAAAAATTTTTCCGGACATAACAATTTTTCCGGACATACTCCATTTTTCCGAAATCTAACAAAATTTTTCAAAAATCACAAAATTTTCAACAAAATTGACAGAATGGGGGGGCACTGCCCCCCCAGGCCCCCCCCCCCAGCTACGGGCCTGCTTTGAACACTTTCCATCATGGATATGCGTGACCTGAAGAAATGCCTCGTAATTGAATATTCTTCCTATATATTGGTAAGCCTTCTATGAAGTCCCGGAAATGAGGCCAAATTCAGGCCATATACACATTCTATTCAGGCCATATACATGCACATTCTATTTGCTCTATCTTTATGCATGGTATCGAGCACTCTTTGCGTTTCGTATACATAAACCTATACTATGTATCTCGAATGAGTATTTCATAATATGCTTCGAGAATATTTTGACAAATGTTTCGAGAAAATTTTGACAAATGTTTCGAGAACATTTTCTTATCATATTTCCGAGTGAACAATAACACAACATATATATATATATATATATATATATATATATATATATATATATATATATATATATATATATATATATATATATATATATATATATATATAATGTCCATTTATGCAAAACCCTTTACACTTGCAGTGAATTTTTGCTGTGATTTTAGGTGCGATTCTCTTCTGATGTTCAGATGAGGGTCGTCGCAATAGACGATTCCCTTTATTACGTTTTCGTAGCGCTTTGCATTGTGGTACTGATAAAGATAGCGGCCTCGAATAAAAATATTGAGTGTTTTCGCGAATATTTTGCTGTTGGATATGGTGCACCTGACCCTAGCTTTTTTTAAAAGTTCTTGCACGGGTCAGGACAAAAAATAAACCATCTTGAATATCAGTGATACCACTATAACCACAATGCAAAGCGCTACGAAAACGTAATAAGGGGAATCGTCTATTGGGACATATATTTATATATTCATATTAAGTAATGATATATCTCTCAATTCCAGCAACTTTTTAAAGAAAATGTTAAAAGCGACCGAGATATAGGGGGAAATTATATGCTATGACCACTGAATAGCTTTGCGCGAAACTTGCAATTATGATTAACTTTGCTGGCGTCAAATATCAAGGTGTGAAAGTATAAGCCGTTTACAGAATCTCTCGAAGTTCAAGCTATACGTGATGTCGGCTTCGTGACTTTTCTACTGCCTTTTGGCTTAGAGGCTTCCTTACTAATTGTATTTTTGCGCTTCGCTGACTATAATTCTATTCTATAATTTTGGTTGTTTGCGATTGGTTAATCGCAAGGGGTGACAAGTGGATTAACATTGGGGGCGGAGAAAATGACAGAAAGGGTGGAAACCTCGTCAAATCTTAAATCGTCGTTTATTAATTAAAGAGAAAGCAAAATTACCCAATTTCCTCGACAAAAAAAAGAGTTTAACTACAGAGCGAATGCAATAGCTGTCAAAAAAAGCGAACATACTTTCCTTCTTTGGACATTTGAGATGAGAAATATGATATTTTGGGAGGTCCTGATCAGTTAAACGGTCTGCCGTTAAATCTCGTGGCGCAAGAGGTGCTATTTTTCAAAAGATGTCTCATTGCGACCACAGGTTAAAAGGTGGTGAATTATGGTTAAAACAGTAGCTTCTACAGTTAGTTATCATTGCGTGTACGAAATTTGAGGAACGTAACTAAAAAATTGAGCACGCAGTGACAATTTTTCTGAAACAGGAATCTATCATATGATGTAACCTTATTAATAGCGGATATTTGCCGATCGAAACTGTCTTACAACCATGCAGGCGACTGGATGTCTGGGATTTTAAAACTATGACTAAGATCTGTTCATGCGAGGCAGAATACTATTCCGTTTAGGTGTTGCGTTCACACGATAGTACCGATGCAATGTCGGATTCGAGTTCGGTTCGTTTTTCTTATTTGAAGTTTGAGGCATTACTGCTGACCATTTTTATCGCATGTCACGAATTTATCGACAATATACTGCATAAACCAAATAAAATTGAGAGGATACTAACACCCAACAACAATTTTTGTTAATTTCATTATTTTATACTGAATTCGCGCCAAAATATTTTGCATATAAACGTTAACCGTAATGAAATTCTTACGGTTAGGCGTTCACACGGCACTCTGACGGTAGAATTTCGTTCCGTTTTCGAACTCTTACGGTTAGCGTTACGGTTTCACATTTTTTCATTTTTTCGGCATCGCGTGAACGCAACCCCACGGGGTCTAAGGTGTGCTGAGATTAAATTAAACTGTTTGTGCCAGCGAAGGTAGGGCCAATAAATCAATAATAGCATTAAGCTTTCGTTGGTAGGGTGCAACTACCTGAAATTCAAGCCCTCTGTTCCATTTCTGGAAGCAACGATATAGCCGCAAAACTAAAAGACATGAATGCGCCTCATTTCCAAACTTGGCACTCATGTCCACCCCTATAGGGCATTAATCAACGTTTTTCCTGTGTTTAACTCTGTCTTTGCCTGCCAAAAGCAAACATTGACAGTACTTTTAATTCAGTTACCTTATAATTTAATTATAAGTTATTTCATATAATATAGTTATTTCATATTTCATATTAGTTGTTTCATATAATTTGTTGTATTCTTTGTTTATACTTTGTTTTGACGAAGCCATTGATCTGATTGACTGATTCGTTTATTTTTTGTCACCTGTTCGCTTTTATGTTCTTAGTATAAAAGCTCATGCAATTTTCCCGATCCCCACTAGTATTAAACGCCAGACGAATGGCCTTCGCTCGAAACGTCGAAATTCTCCTTATATTTTTCAGGTAGTTGCGTCTCTACCAACGTTAACGAAAGCTTGTGATCAACTTAATTAAACTGAGACAGTACGTATACACTGTGGGGGACTAAAATTTCTCCTTGTTGTCTACAACAGACTACATGCCTAAGATTGTTTACAAATACGAACTAATATAAAGGTCTAAGTAGATAGAGGCTCCTTATTTGTACTGCATGCTGTTACAATGGTAGACTTGCTCCAAGTCTCTCTTTCATTTAGGGATGGGCCGATATCGATACCAAATACTCGATACTATCAATACCAGGGTTTTGAAGAAAAGTATCGATACTGGCAAGAAATATCGATGTTTCGATATTTCTGCGCCCGCGATATTTTTCATTTTGGTCAGCGGCATCATCATGAAAATGATACCAAAAAGCCTAAATAGGCGTAAC